TGCTGCTCACCACGCGTCCGTCAAGTGGCATCAAAAAATGTGGAAAGATGAAAAGCATTTACAAATGACTATAAACTAACAAAAACTGCATTCATACATACATACATACGCATATTAGGGTGGTGAAAAAGACATATTAAATACTTTTTGGTATTTTTTTAATAGGGAGATTTAAGAATGTCTGGGAACATAGAAAATTAATGTTCACTTGAAAAATACTTGAACCTTATTTTGTTTGAAAAAGCTTCAAAAAATTTTGCCCAACACAAAAATAGATATCTGGCAAAAAGAACGACACATATATTATTCCCCTCCAAATTAAAAAAAAAGAATCCCATTAGGAGTATTTTCATATTAATATACAATTTATTATATCTCTATACAACTGTGTGCGTAATAATAGCAGTGGCTAATGGAAATTTATGTAATGATTTTGTTACGTTTAAGGGGCACACCTAATGTGAAAATTCAAAAAAATCGATTTTTTTCATATTTCGGTAGATTACACCTTTAAAAATAACATATTAAAATTTCAAATCGATATCTCAAATAGTTTTTGAGTTATAGCAATTTCTAGAGCAGCCGCTCGGCAGCTAGAGAGTCTCATTAGCTACGAGTGAAATCATTTTATCTTTAAACGCATTTTTCTCGAAACATCATTTTCCGAATGTGCTACAGTGATTACTCAAAAACAAATGAACCGATCACTATCGAATTTTTTTTACATGTTCTATATATAGTTCTCCATACAATGACCCATTGATTTTTGATCTGAACAAAAAATCGAATTTTGGCAGGCCAAAAACGAACAAAATTTTGGGAAAAATTCGACTTTTTTTTTTTTAACGCCGCCATTTTGTCAATTTCTGATCTTTTTTATGGTAGGTCATAGGTATATAGTAGAGAATTTTCTTTTTAGATTTCATCCACGGAGAAGGCCGGAATCACTGCAGCAGTGAAGGACCTTTTTTTCGCGCCATCGGAGATCGGCTATAACTTAAAAAATATCTTCTATCTTATTTTTTTCTTCAAAAATTTCCTTGTATATTCTTGAAACATGTATAAATAAATTCTTAAAATTTTGAAATAATTTGTAAAGTATTTTTTATTAATAAAAATTCCCAAGAATCACCTTTTTTAGACCATTTTTTTAGGTGTGCCCCTTAAATAATACCCCAATTTAAATTTGCCAATGCCAGGATATAGGCCCAAATACTACCACCCTGTATTTAAATTAATTTCTGATGTAGTTACCATATTCATGAAATCCCATTACTTTTTATGCTACGCGGTTCAATTTTATGTGATTTAAAATAGCAGTGTCAGTAAAATAGCCGTGTTGTGTAAACGAATTCAGGTCAAACTTGAAAGTTTAAGTTAATTTTGAGTCCTGTTCGCAATGCTAACCACTCGACTACCGCCGCCGCCATATAACATTAATAATTTTACTATTCTTTAAAATTAACACAGTTTTAAAAGTTGAGTTAAACACTTTTTGCTTGAATAAACAATTGAGGCATTTTTTTATATAAATAATTTTTTTTTTAATTTTTTATATTTGAAATAAAAAATCTAGTTCTATACTTATTTCTTGCATTTCTCATAAAATTACTTGAATTAAAAATTAATATTTTAGGGTGTTTATGTATAAAATGGAATAGTTTTATTTATTTAATTATTTAAAAAATAGTCCACCTGCTTTTTACCTTTATAGTACAATTTGAAAATTATATTCCCTGTGTTAACAAATTTTTTTTTCGAAATTAAATAAAGCTATTTCAATAAAGAGTTTAAATATTCCTATTCCCAACGAAGAATATTTCAGTAAAATTAATAAAAAGAGAGCCTGCCTATTCTTAAAAGAATAAATTGACGAAAAAAGAAGAAATAATTTTGGACATTTTTAAATTAAAAATAATAATTTTTTTCATGTTTCTTAAACATTTTTTTTTTTCTGTGAACGTCAAAAATTTTCAATGTCATTTTCTTCAAGACTTTTTATTGTTTATACGTACATGCAATGCATTCAACTCGTTGAAATAATAAAGTTAATATTCTAATTTTAGTTTTAAATTTGTTTAAGCACCCAAAAATGATTTTTTTTTTGCTTTTTGTCGAGAACTGAAAAAATGTTAGTATTTGAAAAAATGCAACTTTTATTTGACGACTTTCAAAAAAAAAAAAAAAATCCACAATTTAATCGCTTTCCATAAGGAAAAATTAAAATTGTGATTTATATCAAATACCATTCATGCTGCCGGCGAGAGGAAATCGTATTGTAAATAGTTTTTAATTCACATATTGACAATAATGACTTTGAGTATTGGCAAGCCAAGCTAGCAGGAAGTTGGTTGCCACAGCTGCTACAACTACTTCGGCGTCCACTACTTCAGCTTCAGTTGCCGAGCTGCCGGGCTGCTGCATTCATATGCACATTCTGCGGTTGCACAAACAGCCCCAATTCCACAATTTGAATTCCAGTTCCAGTTTCAGTTGCTGCTCTAGTTGCAATTGTTGCTGCTGCCACCTCATCAATTGCTACGCGTCCATCCATCTATGGTTGCACTCGCATTCACACAGTGATTCACCAGCCAACCAGACAGCGAGTCAAGTCAGCATTGCGGTTTTCGATTCGATTGTCATCATATTGCTACAATTCACAGCTAAGCAAATCCAGTTACAACCGCTAATGCTCGCTCGGTGTGGTACATTCGCTATTGCCGCTTTATGTTGTATTGCATTTGAAAATAGTTGGGTCAAATATTGAAAGTTCTGACATTATTCTACTTTCGTGCGTGCATTGGTAGCGAATATTGGAAACTATATATTGTACAAACATATGCACATATCGACATACATATGCACATATAAACGTTAAAAGTTTCTACAAAAAGTGGGGTAGCTCAATTTGCAAGCCATTGTGCTAATATGGAATAGCGATAAGATCGGCAAAAGTAGGTGTTTATGTACGTACATATGTTCATTTGTATGCATTGATTTCGACAATAGATAATTATCATTAAACACCACCACTACTACTACAAGCCCACAAGTTCTTTTATGGCTTTATATAAAAGCTTTTGAGCTTACAACAGATGGCTTTGTCTCGCGCGACCCAAATATTAACAAATCAAGAAGAAGAAATTCAATGTGTGGGTATAAAACATGCAGGAGTTTGTACATAAATCTCAACGCACATTACTGACACCCGTCGGCCCCAATGCATAGCTACATACATATGTATGTGATACTGGCGATAAAGTGAAAATGAAATTGATAAAAAAAAATGGATTATTGACAAAATTATCTCATTTTAAGCTACATTCCGGAGCGAAAATTTATCAAATTTACGTTTCGCACATTACTTGAGGGTGTGTGTGAGAGAGGGTAATGAAAGAGTTGCCCCATTCATGCTGTTGCTTAATACGCAAGAAAAAAGTTCGTATGAGAATTTTCATTCGGATGTTCAAGAATGCGTCCAATTCTCAACTGATTTATAATTCAGTTAAAAATGCATCATTTCTCTCATTTTCACATGATTAATGATTCGGAATGATCCAATAATCTTCCAGCCGCTCAACACAAAATATTTTCTCATCCTCTTTTTATCATATGTAGAAGTCTACAAGAGGGTTTGAGTTTTGAAATCTAAATGTTTTTCTAATTCCGTTCTGACATAGATCAAGAATAGAGAGTCAATCGCACCATAGGATTTGGCAAACGTCACTTTCAAAAAGCTGTTTAATGAAAATGAACTGTTAGTAAAATGAAAACTTTTATTATTGATAACAAGCTGGGAAACCAATTAAGGAGTTTTGCAAAACAAAATAAATGCTTTGCTTTATTAAAAAGGCTTTTTATTCTATAAATCAACAGAAAATATGTTAATATACATAATTTAAAATAGTTCAACAATAAAGAAATCATTTAAAAAAATATATTGAATCCTCTTGTTCCTATATAATGGATGAATACAGATAATGATCGAAGCAATAGTGAAAATTTTCAAAAATTCATTTTTTTGAAAAACTGCATTGACTTAAAAATCGAAATTATTGTCAAAAATTGTATTCCTTCGATCATTACCTAATAAATATGTCTTAGAAGGTCGTGTGAAAATTTCAAGATGATCAGTTCAACCATTTCAGAGAAATTTCCTTCACCGACTATGAAACAAACAGCGTTTCGAGATAAATGTACTTCAAGTTCTTTTATATTTTTGGCAAAAAGTTAGCAACAAGGAAACTCTGTATCAATCAGGTTAAATGCAAATTAGCTGAGTGCGACTCAAAAACGCGTTCATGCCACCGAGTTAACGCTTCTTCTATAATAGACTTAACTCGTGGTGAAAGTGTTTATGCATGCGAGTTTAATCCACCGAGTAGAAATGAAGCATAAACGCTTATACTGCTTATACATCCCCGCTTTGCAATTTGCCTATTTTCGAACGCCACGAGGCGTCCGTAATGATACGATCATATCTCCCAGACTGTATGTCGGATCAACTTTAGATTTTCGTTAAATATTATCGTAGTTTTTGGGACTCTGTTCAATTTCTGCCATATTGAAAAATATTTGGTTTCACAATACTGTGAAAATTCCATATCCAAGATGAAATGAAGACTGCAAAACAAAGTCCAATAAATTGGCCATTATATTACCAGGCCGTGTCTACACTCCAAAATTTACGTGAGTTTTTCCTAGCTGAGGACTGTCATTTTTCCGGCAGACCGACCCCAGTAGCATCGATTAACAGGTTAAGCTTTATATTTGTGTCAGCGGAGCAACTTTTTCCAACAGGATTCCACAAAATCCTTTCAAGCCAAATTCTCCAAAAAAAAAAAAAATATTTTGCCGCGAATGCCAGTATTCTTCGAAGCTCTGTGATATACAACTTGTACAATGGTTGGTGCTATTTTAGGACCTTTATTCAGATTTCAGATTTTCAGCGATACAGTGTCTCAAGTGTTAAAGGATGAGGCCTGAGCACCATTACTTACTTTGTGGAACTATGGGAAAGGCCTATCTTTCTCTCTGATACTCCATTCCTAGTCCACGCTCCTGCTCAATCTTCGTCTGTGTGAGGGTTACGCAGCCTCTGTGCCATAATGATTGCTCCGTACGTTAGAATATATCGGAATGCGACAGTCGTCAAAAACAATACGTGATCTGTATGTCACTTTTGGATGTGTTCTGGCTTGCGCACTGCTTGTGAGTGGAGTAATGTTTGCGTCGTTCCTTACAACAGTAGTCTGATCCGACCTGAAAGTACTGCGCAGCCACCAAACACAGCCATATTAGCGGTTTAGAACGTTATTTATTGCGTAATGTCTTAAAGCTTCAGTAAGGAGAATTAGTTCAATGTGATACAACTGCCGCTAAAAACCGAGAAAGTGAATAAAATAAAAGTTCAAAAAGTTTGAAATCCGCATTTTTACGTAAAAAAAATAATTAGGTTTCTCTTTTGTGATTAATATAATTACAAACACAGCAACAACAACAAAAACAACAACAACAACAACAACAACAACAACAACAACAACAACACCAACAACGGCAACAACTCATGAACTAATTACAAACAAACCAAACTGATCTTTTCTTTGGCCCGACGCTCGCTGGAGCGCGCGTGTGAGCAACAAGTTCAATTGCAATAAATGAACCCTTCACATCAACAACAGCAATAAAATGAAAAACAAACATCGGTTGCTTCAAATATGTACATACAATATTATATGTATGTAGTACGCGAAAGGGATTACCCGGCCAGCCGCACACGCATACATGCACACATTTGTATACAAAAATAAAGAATTTTAACAGCAAATGAAAGTCGCGCCATAACAAATAAACGGAGTTTGATTGCAGTTGTTGTTATTGTTGTTGCGGTCGTTGGTGTTGTTGTTGCAACCCGAATACATCAAGTGGCAACGTGTATTAAATGACGCATGAACAAACCAAATGCAATAAAACTTGATGGGCACAAACAGCAATAACAACACCAGCAGCAGCTGCTCTGGATAAGAAGATTCATCAAGCAGAAGTTATTGCAGCAACAGCAAAGCAGATCGACATCCAGCGGAAATATCGAATGTAACAACAATAAAGTTTAACGAGGAAGGAAAACCCGATGCTTTTGTGAAGTGGAAAAATAAATAAAAAGAAGAAGCATGGAAGCGTGTGGTGGCCACCAGCCAACGAAGGGAGCAAACAGATAAGCATAAACGAAACGGGATCAGATAAATATGCTTAATACGTGTACTTAAGCATATACGTACATACATATATATAATGAATTAATGCGCACACATACACACACAACAAATATATAAATACTTAAACAGCGCAGAGCCCACTTTTCGAACGGCAAAAACCCCCAACACGTCGACGACGACGGGTGCCAATGCTAATGGAGGGAAAACAAGCAATGGCAGCAGACAGATTGACTGCAAGCTGAGAGCGTGCTGCTACGTGCATGTTGCATGCAACATTTACAAATAGACTGTCGGGCTGAGGCTGCCGCTGCCTCCACGCTTCTAACCAGCCGCCGCCGTCAGTTATTGAGGCACACACTTACTATTTTCTAAGATAATAAAATTCAATTGAATTTAAACGAGGCGAAAAAAGAGTAGGGAGATTGCTGAGGCAGAGGTCAGCAGAGCAGCGCAATATTTTTTTCTACTTATTTTATATTTATTTTATTTTATTCTTTCAACTAACTCGGCAAGTGCGAATGACCACTGAAAATGCAAACGAGCCAAAAGGTCAAACAACTTTTTTGAATTTAAATTGAAGAGAAAAAAAATACTACATCTCATGTGAGAACTTTTCGAACAATGCATTCTCTCTTAAAATTAGTTGCTGCTGTTGTTGTTGTTACGAAAAAGAAATTAAATTGCAATAAGAAATAAAAGTTAATTATAAAATAAACATAAATTTACAAAGCCAAAACAGTCAGCAGCGTTGGGAAACACAAAATGACAGCGAACCACTGCTCAAGAGGCGGACAGACAAACGGCAGCGACACTTGAGAAACAACAATTAAACTGGCAATAGACGACGCCGAACGGGAAGAAAGACTCGAATGAGAAGAAAGCCCAGTAAGCGAGCGTCACAGAAGTCAAGGAGAAATAATGTAAACGAAATATAATAAATAAATGGGCAATAACAACAAAAACAACAACAAAAACACTAAAAAAAATAAAAATAAAACACTTTCAAAGGCTGAACGCCAGCGACAAATGGTGAATGAATGACAGGAAACACTCATTCCGCAGCAGCACTGGGAGCATGTTTGCAATTAGAAAGATCAGGAAGAAAAGCAAAAAGAAAGAAAAGAGAATATAAAGAAAAAAAATACAGAAATAGAAAAAAGAACAAGAGAAATATTAAGAAATTATGGAAGAAATAATAAAAAATAGAAGACCAAAAGAAAAAAAATATAAAAATAATAGAAGAAATATGGTGGGTCAGGAAAGAAAAAACCACAGGAATTGCATGTGATAAGTGAAATCTGAAATCTGATTTCCTCCAAAAGATTTGTCAATGTAATTATTCTGATGCTGACCTGTAGATGTTGGTTTAATACCGGTTTAATATTCGGTTCTTCTGAGATTAATACCATATACTCGTAATCGTCATGTTTGTGCAGCATACCACAATTTCCGATTCGTAGCTGATTACATTTAGATGTCATTTCGATGGAACCAAAAACTTATTTTTGAAAAACGATCGTGCAAATTCGCTGATTTCTACTGTCTGTTTTCCATAAATGAGATCTGCAGTCGTACATATTTTCTTTGGAGTTGTAGCTCCTATGCTTCTTTTTGGCCGATTTACGATACTTTCAAAAACTGAATCTTCGTTATCAGTGTAACGAGACTTAAATATGCAATTAAATCGCTGACTTCCTGAAGTTCGTAGAACCACCTATAATATCGACAGCCGCGGTAGCCGAGTGGTTGTTAGCATTGCGTACCGCCGTTCGGAAGGTTCGGATTCAAATTCCCGTGCGACCACTTTCGAATATTATAGAAAATTAATTTAAATAAAAAAAAAATTTAGCTAAATTTTCTAATTGCGATCGCCCTCGACAGGGAATGTCAATCCCTCCGAGTGTATTTCTGACATGAAATAAAGCACCTCTTAAAAAACCATAAGCTATTCGAAAGCGTCTTAGTATAAACAGAGCTCTAGGTTGAAAAGTCACCCTTACCAGCAATGCAATGTCAATATGTATTTATTGAGCTTTAATATCTGTTGCTTACCAAAAAGCAAAATTCCACATTCCCAGTTTCTTAAATGTGGTGTTTTTAAACCAAAATTCTACTTCTGAAAAATCTGTTATATGGAAGGAAATCATATCTCATTATAGCCCGAATGCGCTACTTAAACGTGGTAGTTTTGAAAGAAAAAATCATTTTTAAACAGTCCACTGTATAGATATCTGTGCGAGATATAAATATTCATATTTTAAGCAGCTTAATTTTAAAAGATATTTTACAATCGTCCGAATTTGTCTTCACGTGATTTCTGTGCAGAAACCCAAATTTCATATTCGTAGCTTCTCAAAAGTAAAAATCTGAAAATCCATTTTATAGAAATCTCTTGAATGTAGACTGAATATTTCAGTCATTCGATCTAGTGGATAACTGTACTTGTACATATGTATATAAGAAAAACACGACGCTTTATTGAAATTATTAATAAAATAAAATTGTGAGTGCTAAGACGATTAGCATAAGAGAGTAGAAAAAAAAATGCCGGCGAGTGATCAACCAACACACAACTGTAAGTGCGATTAATGAGAGACAAAGACTAAAGCTTAGTAAATACCCTCTTTAGACGCTACGCAACAAACTTAAGGTGAGCAGAAAAAAGAAGCAACGAAGACAATGAAGAAGCCAGAGAATAATCGTAGCGAATGCAAAGCAGTGAAGTGAAGAAAGTATTTAGAGAAAACACTCACACAAAACTCCACTAACAGCCAACTTTTGTCGAGAACAATCAACGTCACTGAAAGAAAAATAATATCCATTGAAAACGACAATCGAAACGCCAAGCACTCAACTCTACTAATTGTTTGAAGCGAAAACAGAAAAACTTGTCAGCCGATCTCCGACACAAGCACCCAAGTGACCCAAATTCTATGCGACGGGAAATTAAGTGGACTTTCAATTCAAGGTAAAATCGTCTCACTAAGCGCCTAACAAGAACTTGGACAAAGTCAACATCCACCAGCAACAACAAAAAGACACAAAAGCCAAAGATAAATAATAAAAGAGAAAATAAGCATTTGGAGAAAAGATTTAACTACACTTATTTACGCAGAGTTCATTAAAAAAGCTTTGTGTGTTGGCAAGAAAAACGACCAGAAATGTTTGTATGACAGAAGAAAAGTGATTAAGTGGTGAGGAGTACACGCAAAGTGTGCATAGATTCAAAGATAATTATTTACTTATGACGGAAATTACGTCTGCATGTAAGATTCTTAGTTGTGTGAGATGGAAAAGCTCAAAATTTCCGATCTATTAGTAAATTGCTATCGCATTCAGTTTGATAAACGAGTAGTGCAGTATTTGATTGTTCAATTCGGATATGAATACGTTATGCCAAAAGCAAAGCAATCAAGGAATATTCTCCAAACTAATTGAGGAACGAACGAATTAGCAAATTTCATTTCGGTAAAGGTGTCGTATTGGAAATATATATGCTTCCAAATTGAAAGAAAAAACATCTAAAACGTGTTTTCTGTATTTACCGTAAACTTCGCTCATATTCCTATCAAATAAAAAAAAGGACTTAACCGTCACACCGACAAGAAAGAGCATGAATATTGAGTTTGGAGTATTGAATTATTGAGAGCATTTTTAATTTTACCCAAAATTATTAAGTTGAATTTGATTAACTTTGCACGGGACATTCTTCTGTTGTTTTTTTAAAGAAAAATGAATGAAGAAAATATTTTTGAATTTAAAACAACTAACAAAGTATTAATTTTGGAAGTCTGATCGAATGAATACATCAAAGATTAAAAATATGAGGACTATTGATGTGTTCTTGAGGGCTTTGAACGCAAGGAGACAAATCTGCTGAAAACCATGGCTGAGGCAAGATGAAAGGCGAAACTTTGATATTGATCGCACTTGGCGTGCTCTTTTCTGTACGGGCTCTTCTGAGACAATTTAGCTTTGTTTCGGCTCATAAATGATTCGTGACCAGGTTTAACTTTTTAGAGCAACAATTCTGAACGATACTCATGCAAATGTTTTTTTGGTCAATTTCAGAATTTCGGAACAAAATTTCGTTTAACTTGCATTTCGTACGGGAATTACTTTATTAGGGTGCCAAAACTTTATTTCTCATGAGGCTTTCTTTT